TAAAGTCGAAAGTCTAGGTGCTGGGCCACTTCAAATCGTTACCGTCATACACAAGCCCGACGTGATACAAGCGCATCAAGGGAGCTCGGTCGATATCATACAGTCGCACGATCAACCCCTGAACAGGCGCCCGAGGGGCGTAGTCCGAACGGGAATGTCGGTCTCCCGTCGCCCAAAGTGCCTCTTCCGGCTAAATCGAAACATGTAAGCAAGAATCGCGAATGGCTCGGGCGCATCAAACCTACCTCATCTTATCCCATACTTGAGTCTGTTGGTTGAAATGGTATCTGTGCCACGCATTAGTGAGAGCGAAGAGATTGACAATAAATCGAAGCATACCCTTGGAACACGGAAGCAGTCATCGACTTCGACCCATATTCTTTCTTTAGTAGACGAACGTATTCGAACGGGATCTTGACCGGAACATCTTCGAAGTAACTGTTCCGCAGTGGGAAGATCTCGGTTTCCTAACCCCAGGTCAGCCACATTGTTGTGTCACCAGTTCACACGCCACCCACATCAAACCGATGGCCATCCTTGCACATCAATGCCCCAGGCTCTCGATCATTCTGCCTCCGCTCGTCATCCTTGCGTACCGCCGTAATATCGATAAACAGCCCGGACGATGTATCTATCCACCGCGCATCGATCACGTTAAGCTTGTCATCGGTCGATCGGACGACATAGTTCGGGTTGATCTCCAGCAAATAGGTTCGGCCGCCGTCGACGCCTGAAATCTCAAAGTGGTGCTCGGTCATGTTGTAGTAATCGGCAAGAAAGTGGATGGTCGGCTCGGAAATTTGAACGTCGAGATCGTTGTCCCATGGAAAGATCTATCAATCCATTAGCGGGCGGCGCATCATAAACACCCATGGTTTGTGTCACACCTTCTGGTTCCACCACCAAGCCAGCAAAGTTCCATGCATTATCCAGGTTTCCGCCCCAAGGTCTGCCATTGTCGAAAGATAGGTCCGGATGAGTTCCGACAGGTGCGGAACAGTCTCCGCCTCGGAGAGAGGTTCATCTGCGAAGCTATCAAGAAGATCAGCAATCGTGAAAATCAACTAGTGGTGGACCAGACATACCGTCCATCATAGTGGTAGTGGAAGCTAGTTCATATTAGAGTTAGTCAAAGACAACAAAAGGAACACCGCCCGAGTAGATCCTATGGCATACCTAGATTCCTCTGTAACTTGTTAGACAAAGCCGATAACAACCGCAGCACTAGGCCAGACTTACTGAAGTATTTCTCTCCCGGTTCTCCCCCTTTTCCGGAGTAATCCTTGACCATGTCAGGTCGGACACTCATGAAATCGACATCGGCGCTTGCCGATCCAACAGCACATAATAACCCATAGAGGCCGAGAATCAAACGGGGCGTCGAAGACCACATAGTGGCGGGAAACGATGGACGATACTTGTTCTTTCAATGTTGAGAGACCGTAAAGCGCATGCTCTTATCCGAGGTTGCACGATGCCGTAGATAAGACGGGGAATGTCCGCGCTGCCAATAAAACCGGAATGGGCGGGATTTGTTGTAGGGGCCGAAGGGGCCAAGGGGGAGCAGACGAAGACAAGTTGGAGGGGCCACCCACTTCGAGAAGAGAGGGAGAAAAGATGAGTGTATGTATGTATGTATGTGTGTGGAGGAATCAGGATAGAAGGAGAAAGGGAGAAGAAGATTGAATAAGAAGCAAGAAACAAGAAACAAGAGTATAATTATTCAGTGGAAAGCGACGTAATCAGTGCGGCGCATAAGAGGGAGTATTGTGAATAGTCATCAATAATAATTAGATTTGAGTACAAATGGGGGGCGCCTAGAAAAAAAAACCACGAATCGCCAGGGCGATCGGCAGGGAAGAGACGTATAAAAAGAATAAAAAGAACCGCCGCCAAACCGGCGTGCTACTTTACTGTGTACTGTTACGGGGGGGCCCCCGGTCGCGTGCTCAGTTACCGTCCAGCCCAAAGAGTGGCAAGGAACCTTGGAAACAACTTGAACAGCCTTGCCAGTCTTGGCGATGGGCTTACTGGGCTTACCGTGCCGATCCGACTGGAACGCCTGGAAGAATCTGCCACGCTCTGTGCTGTCTGACTCGTTGGTGTCAGCGATTTATTCAGTTTCCTTGGATGTCCAACCTACGGATGCACCCTGGTCGGTTCACACAAATCGTCATGTAAAGACAGTTTTTGGACGAGATCAATAATACATCAATACATCAATACACCAGTCCACCAGGACATCTCGGGTTTGATCTCTCCGACTGGACTAGTAGCACTACATGAATAGTCGACTCCTACCAACCACCGACACTAGAAATCCGCTAGACGCCCGTCTTAGTACCTTGCGTGCGTAGTCTCAGGCCAATAGCATGACGAGTCTCGCACGGCCTGTTCCGAATGACTTGGTCCGATGGCGTTTACCTTTGTCCTGGGTTCGCCAGTTTATAGTGCTGAAATGCGTGCAAAGTGGCCCTAAACACTGGGGCCGCGTCATAGTCTGATAGCGGCATTTCTCCCCCTCTCCGCCAGAGTCCAATGTCTTCCTTGAATTACCCGCTTTGCATCCATTTTGTCTCTAGTTTCAGGTGACAGTTGTCCTTCCTGCTGCTGTCATCACCCCTAGCTCGGATGACGAGAATGGTTTTTAAATCACTGTTCCGGTCAAGCTTTTCCCCCAAAGCCCCCCTCTCCAATGTGACGGCGTGACGGTTTTGTGTTGCACGGAGTAACTGTAAGGGTAGGGAGGAGTCTGCAGTCTTAAAAGTGGGGGAACTCCGCTGCATCGAACAGAACGTTGGCTTTAGAATGTACGGCGATCGTCGCTCATCATGCTATTCTTGCTCTCCGCTGTTCCTGCCAGTCTTTTCCTTTTATTGTGCCCTTACACATAAATAGAAGCCACAGCCATAGCTTGCCGTCTCGGGCGCTGACCAAGGACCACATTGTCTCAGCATCGACCATTGGACTTTAGTAAGAATAACAAGCAAATTTGTTTTCTGAATGAACCGACTGAGATCTCTGACAAGATCCCCTAATCAAAACAATGCGGGATCGGGTCTCCTTGGTCGTCAGCAAACTCTATGCACATTCTCTATTTTCAGAGCGAGTCATGTACACGAGACAAAAATTAGGATGCATAACAAGTAAAATTTAAGTACTTACCAAACACGCCTTATCACTGCACGAAAGGTAGTATCGCATGTCGGGGAGGCGGGCTTAGGCTGCCGAGATATGCTGCTCAACTTCAAGGGCCATGACACGCAGTCGATCTTCAATGAGGACGTTACTTGTACACAGTCTGTAGAGCCTAAACCTAAAAATATTTCCGAGTTACTTGAGCTGTGCTCAACTGAGTTATGACCGGCCTGCACGCAGTGTCAGCCTTAGAGAGGAGGCCATACAAAGGGGTCGAAGGCTCGTAAGCACTTGAACTACTATGGAAAGCTCACTCAGCGCGGACTGGAAAGCTGCGTATAAGCGTAAAACGTATCATTGATTGCTTGATGTTTCAGGATGCCACTATTGCCTTGGACAGTTGATGCTTGAGCTCACTGATCTCCTGCCGGCAAGCTGTCGGCAGGCGATCGTTCTCGACATGTGATTATGTAGATTGTCACAATTACAAACTTGTCAGGTGGTAGTGGAAGATAATACCGGCGAAACAAGACCGTGAGGTGGATTAAGGATATTGACCGTGAGTTCCATACGTCCATTGGCTTGGGATCTATCCAAAGTTAGTAGTAGGAGACAAGCAGCTCAGCTATCTAGGTATAGAAGCTGACGCATGATAAACAGTAAACACGAGCCTCCACTAAAGAATCAAGGATATTCACGGGCCCTTATAGATTACCACATCGGGCCAAGTGGTGCCTTGCGGCGCTCGATACCGCCGAACGTGGCTGCCTGATTGGTCGGGATGTGGAGGAAGTGTGCCGGCGCATCGGGGAAATCGGTTCCGATGATTCGTCAGGTTTGGGATGTCTTCCTTTTCTATCTTTGACTTCGGGGTTATCGCTGCTAATTTGGGGGGCTAATAGTACTAATCAAGTATCGTCTACGGGGTGCACCAAGCACTAGGCTGTCTCTCTCTCTCTCTCTCTATACATCGAGACTTTTCTCCTGCCGCCTAAGAACTTTGTTCTACTGGAGACAGTCATGAGCGGTATAGAGAGTCTCGAGCCCGTTCAACGGCATACTTCCACTCCATATCCAGCAACGCACTGGGACTGAGATTAATTCTTAATCAGGGACATAGGACTGTAGCTTACATGCGGTAAGCACTCACTGGGCACTAATTAATCTTTGGATCTTCCCGACTACTGTGCACCCAAGATGGGAGACTAACTGTACCATAGTTCCAACTTGATCTAATCTCTCCACTTTGGCCTTCCGCTCGCCAAAGAGAACAGGGGACTAAATTGCACTAGCCTTAGACTTCTTTCCTACAGGCCAAACCCCTCTTAGCAATGGCACCATCTTGGCCCTTAAAAGCACCGAAAAAGGCTCTTTAGCCTTTCCCCCCTTTGTGGCTGGATTCTCACATGACTGAGGCTTGTATGCGTCCCACTGCTTCAGCTGGATTCTGCTGCTGCACCAACTCCGACTACTTGCGGCACCGGGTACATGGCGAGTTCTGCAGTTTCCCCTGCCGGCGGGCGTCCAATTGGATGTCTTCTTCCCAGATTCGACTTTCGATATACCTGTTGATTTAGTTTCCATTCTTGCGATATCCTCCACGTTATCACTTCTGAGGCTCTCTCAAACCTGGTTTGTCAGACAGCAAACGACGATGTTAATATCCGTCTTTTACATCTTCCATTGATTACATACCGCTTCCGGAGACGAATAATAAGGACCAAGCAATATCGCCTAGTCAGCCTCAACAGACGCTGTGCACACTTAATCTGGATTTAGTCTACTATCCTCCGACCCTTGCGTCTATCGTCGATCACCAGTGGCCCGGATACTACGCCTTGTAGCAAGGTGTGGGGGCCAAAATGTCGAAAATACCCACAAATCCTCCAGGCGACTCAAATTCGATGCCCCAGGCGGCGACCGCGCAACAACTAAACCGATCATGCGAATCGTGTCGAGGACTCAAAGTCCGTTGCTTACCCGATCCTTCGACGCCCAACCAATGCCAACGATGTGTGAAAGCCAACAGACCCTGTATCTTCGTGGCGCCCCAAAGGCGCCGACCACGCAAGCGGACTGACTCGCGGGTCGCTCAGCTGGAGAGAGAGATGCGACAAATGCGCTCTCTGCTCAAGGACAGGTTACGCGTGGATGAAAGCAGTGCCGAAAGCGTCGGCAGCGAAAGAGAGGACTCTCGGGAACCCGACCTGGGGCCGAGCATCAATGATTCGATGCCCGCAGGTTCAGATCCTCCAAGCAGCGCATCGGGATCGGCTAGACCCATGGACTTTTCACCTAGCTTCCCTTCAAACTCTCCATATCCCAATACCTTTGACGGCGGTGCCACTCCCGGCTTAGCTTCCAATCCTGTATCGTCGAGCTATTCGCTTGAAGCAACTCTAGAAAGGGATGTCGTCGGTCAAGGCTTGATATCACTGGAATACGCCAACGATTTAGTCGCCTTCTTTATCACTGAGCTCACAGCCTTTGCTCCAATCGTCGTACTACCTCCAGATACAACTGCTTACCAACTGCGTTGCTCGAAGCCGGTGCTGTTCCTCTCAGTCATTGCCGCAGCAGCTGTCTCGTTGGATGCCAACCTGGCCGCTGCTCTCAACCGTGAGATGATTCGAGTGTATGCCGAACGCTTCTTCATTAATGGCGACAAGTCCTTGGAATTAGTCCAGGCATTGTTGCTCATGATTGTCTTCTACTTCCCGCCCGACTCTCCTTTGAAACTGCAATTCTATCAGTATACTCATATAGCGGCCACGATGGCCCTGGAGATTGGCTTGGCTTCAAAACGACGAGTGCCCCAAAGCTCCAGTCGCAGAACGAATAAAAAGACTGCATATGATGAGCCAATGGCGGAACAAGCGAGAGCCATCTTGTTCTGCTATCATTTGACATCCATGTAAGCTTCAATGCGGTTCCTGTTGAGATTGACCTGCTAATGGAGAACAGTGTCGCAATGAAAACACGCCGGCCGAATTTGCTTCTCTTCAACGACTGGATGAGCGAGTGTGTGAAGCATTTGGAGCGCTCGCCAAATGCAGTCGATAGACACATGGCCACTTGGTTTGAGCTTCAGCGAGTAGTCGATGAGGCGATGACATCTTTTGGGCTTGACGACACGAGTTCGACTGCCCCGCTCACCGAGTCGCGGCTGCAAGCCGTCCTGAGATGGTTTGACAACCGGATGCAGGCATGGAAGAAAGATCTATCCATGGAGATGCACACAGGTAAATTGTTCCCAAAACGGTTGATGTGAGCACGTGAAGTAGCTAATATCATACCTCAGTGCCCATGAATTTCGAGTACCATTACACCAACCTCGCGATCTATGAGCTTGCTGTTGGAGAAGGCTATCGAGATCCTGATGCGATCAAGCAACAATATTATACTCTCCCATCACTGGAAAAGAGTGACAAGTCAAAAAGCGCGCCACTGAGTGCGGTCCGTGTAGACTTCACGATCAAGTGGCTGAACGCCGCCCACGAGATGCTCGACTTCTTCCTAGGCTGTGACACGGAGATGCTGCGGAAGATCCCCAACCTCATCTACACCCGAGTCGGAGTGGCCATCCTGTCTCTGCTCAAAATATACTTCTCCGTTAGATCTGGCGCGCTAGGGGAGTTTGTGACTGCCGAGTCCATAAATGTCGAGAAATACTTGGATGCAATGACCAGGCGACTAGCGGAGGCAAGCGGTGGTCAGAAATACAAAATCCCCAGCCGATGGTATCTCGTCGTTGCCATTAAGGCTCGAAATTGGTATGACCGCTTTGAGCAGAAACAGATGCAGAGAAATGCTGGTTTCGTTCCTCAATTGAGCGCTGGTACGCCAATCTCTCCAAGTCATACCGCCCCTCAGAATCAGCTGCCATTTGACCCATCACAGCCAAATGCGTCACTGGTAATGAAGACGGAGTACTCCTCCATGGTTCCTTTCCAGGCGATGAATGTGAATTACGGCGTACCGCCGCCGACGGATCAGATATGGCAACCCGACCAGAGCGGGGGTTACCCAAACATGGTTCACATGAATACCTTTGCCGGCTATCAGCCTGCAATGTTGCCTCCTCACTATGGATATGATGTACAGCAACAGCGAACACCGCCAGAGAGCGGTCAGCAAGGAAACCCATCACCGGCCAGAACGGGCATGGAGCTTGATGAGTGGATGCCGGACGGCAGTATTTTTGCGATGCCCAGCTTGCCTGGATTCTGAAAAGCAGTCGCCGGAAAGCCTTCGAATCTAGATAGAGAAGATGGATCACCTGGAAGTGGCCATCTGTTTGCACACATTAGCATAGACAAGGAAAGCCCTCCCAATCATTTTCATCCACCTGCCATATGGAGAGGCAGGCACGCCAGAAGGCCAGTATTTGATGAACATTGCGACAAGAAGTCTTCAGGATCGAGAGAGAACTCGAATGAGAGCACACAGTAGGAAGAAGAAAAAAATAAGAGTCCAAGATGGGACCGCAGAACTAACAGCTCTGTCCCACAGTAAGCGATATGCATGCTCAATGTCTCTCGAGTTTACTCCGTCGGGGGCTCGGTAGACATGAAACCTCCGACATCCAGTTGGGGTAGTATGTTTCCCCCAAGGCCCCAACATCAGCGTCCACAGCTGCCGGGGTTCTCCGAAAGGGGAATATGTGGAGACTTTCATGGCTCCTCAAGCTCGCTATTCAATGATGGTTTGCTGGTTTAGACCCGGTCACCATGTGGGTTGTGGCCTTGTGCAGCTAGCTGCAAGTTCGACTGTTGGGACTTGGGAGGTACCACTGGCTCATGTGGAGCTGCACATTGAGCAAGCGATTGATCCACGGCGAAATAACCCATCAGAGAGGATCGCCTGATGATCGTGAGATGTCATGAACATGGGACATATTCGAGATTTATGCGGAACTGCACAACGGCAAATAATTGGCCTGGCTCCGTTCCAGTGTCTCTGGATATCGGCCGACAATTCGGAATCGGGCCGAATCTCTCGTCTCCTTGCCGATGACCATTCACCTTGCTATTCTGGGTTTGAGTCCCTGCAAAACTTGTATGAGGTATCTATACTATGCTCACGCCCAAGTATTACCTGTATCGGTGCAAGTCTCATGACTTCATACTTTGTACAATGACACTGAGCACATCAGAAGACTCCATCAAGCCACGTGCCGCGCCACGTCCGTCCCCACCAGGCTTTATAGGAAGCCATTTCCAGGATACGCACTATGGCTGGAATAATGGAAGCTCTTATACTTGCATATCTATCGTTGTGTTCGCTGAAAGCACTGGAGCTATCTAGTAAGAACCTTCCCATATGGCAGGGTGGCTGTTATTGCTTGTCCAAGATGGGATATGCAAATTGCTATCCAACGTTATAACAGTGGTGACATAGATTGCGAGGATCTTCTGCCTCGATGGTTGAGGACAAGTCTGCTTCTTGGTAACCTTTAAATCATCTACAGGTAGTGGCGACCTCAAGTTTCCAGGTAGCTTGACACTTCTTAGTAGATCTCCCTATTAAACAGGTTGATCCGGGACGATGCGGCGGATGAGACAGCCGCAGTACAACTAGTAGAGACGTGCTCGGTCCTGCATCAGCTGTCAAAAATCAAGCTTTGAGCCTTGACATAAACCGTAGTGCTTGAGGGCGTCTTCAGCTCCAATCGAGGTGACGTTGAAGAAAGTGGCTGTGTGGTCATCCGATCATGCAAATGGCAGCCTAGTGAAATTCCGACCCATGCATGTATTGGGATGACGGAAAGGGCCCCGAGCTATGTAAACAAATTGTTATGGCATGAGCTGGCTGGCGATTGAGAAAGGTCCCAATAATGGTCCATGCACGACCTGAAACCCAAGATCTGTCACTCTAGCTCGAAAGCATGTTCAGCTCTATATCTGGAGAGGATGTTGGGAGAGGGAAACTGAACCGGATAATCCGCGATCAACATGAGGGTGGATGGATTGCCTCCGCAGGAAAGGGGGATGACCGCTTTCAGAGGCCAGCAGAGCCGGTGGTTGCCCACTTTCCCTCCCCAGATGCGGCACCACGTCTCCCGGTCGCAGGCTGCTTTCCAAATCGGCCCCGATTTCATCTGGGCTGACTGTCAACCAGCAGGGAGGAAAGAAAATAGGAGCCATCCATCCTTTCAATTCTGTCCACTACTACCTACAGACTCAATCGACTTTCAAAATATCCCCCCTAATTCTATCGCATCTCCTCTTGCGCCGTCACAGCTCCGTCCCCGCCGTTCGCAAAAGTACCTTGACCCTTCCCTCCCACCTCCGTCACTTCCCCAGTCCCATTCATCGTCTCCAGATCTCCCCAGCTGCCTACTGGTGGCCCCCGACACGACTCAGTTTCCCTGTCAGGCACATGGGATAGAACGAGTGTCCAGGGAGCAACTCAGTGCAAGATCAGCCACAATCACCCAAAGTGCCTTTTCGCACGAATGGGTCATCTTTGGCCCCATTCATGTCGGAACTTGCACGGTGATATTAGGGATTCCCGAGAAGAACGGCACGAGGACAACTGCATGCATTATTTGATTTGACACGTCAATGAAGAATGAGCTCAGTCTCCAGTCCGGCTGTTGACCATTCTGTCGACCACCCTGCCGATCAGCCACCTATCTCACAACCCTCCAATACTCCGACCCCCTCCGCTCCGGCTGCGGCCTCGGAAAGCACCACGACCTCCGACAATACTACCACACAGAAAGAGAATGTCAGACCGGGTGGAGGACAATCTGCGCCAGAGCAGGCCGCAGGTTCGGGTCGGGTTATAGAGTCTAAAGTGGAGGAGTTTGACGACTTTGGTTTGCCGATCCGCGTGCGTCCTAAGAGGGAGTCGTCCGAGAGTGAGGAAGTATTTCACGAAGTGGATGAATCACACGGGAATGCGGATGATAGTGGCAATGTGAGCAACCGAGAAGGTCCAGCAACTGCTCCGGAGGGTTCGAGCACGAATCACAAGGTGGAGGAAGAGCCTCAGGGAGCGGCAAACGAAGTAAATAAGGACCCGTCATTGCTGTCTGCGACATCTGTGCCCGAGGATCATGGTCACTCTCCCGAGCAAGTCCCAGAGACTTCCACGGCTAGCGAAAAGCGTGCTCTTTCCGATCACCCGTCCCATCCTTCACAAGAGGAACCCCCACCGCCGTACACGGAAAGTCCTGCTCAGGAGAATCATGATAACAGTGCCAATCGGTCCTCTATGCAGAAGAAGCGTGCATCTGTGAAGCCTTCCGAATGGTCTCATCAGCGACTCTATGTGGCCGGGCAGTCGGATGACGATGGCGAGGAAGAAGAGGACGATGGGGGTTGGAAAGAAATGCCCGCTTTGGGGGAATTCGATTACTATGATGACTATGGCCGGCTGGTTGCCCGTGGTGCGAAGCAGGAGGATAATGAAGCTGTGTACAGTGGTCTAGGTGGTGCAGGAAAGGGTTACACTCGCGTACAGTTCGACGAAGATGCCCAATCAGCAACCAGCTTGGATGAAGATACAAGCTATCTTTTCAAGGATTCCGCCGACACTGCCGCCGGTGTAGAAGAGGAGCTGCGCGACCGCGTGAGCCAAATGCAGGCGACAAAGGATCTTCTGACTGAGAGCCAGAGAATCGCTTATGTTGGGGTGACCAGGCTGACTATTCATCAAATGACTTTGGACATGAACAAGCTCCCCGCCATCAAGGGCACACGCAAAGCAAGGCAGGCTGGTATCGATGCTATGCGGAAGTGGGGTCAAGCAATGATGGCCAGGCTCTACTCTCACATGGAAATCGACACCGCGGAGCAGGTGATGATAGAGCAATTGGCCGAACATGGCGTGCAGCCGGCAGACCTTGTCCGACCGCTAATGAGTAACGCTCGTGTTGCGAATCCATTGGCGGATGAGTCCGAAACACCAAAGAAGTCGATGTCCTCGCCTTCATCCCCTAGACTCAGGGAGGACTACCGGAGTAGCATATCTACCGAAATGGACAGGTCCTCCCGATCAACTTCACCTCCACCATATGAAACCCACGAAGGGGAAGACTTGCCAGAGGTCCGGACCCCATCGCAGCTGCCCACTTCCGCGAAGATCGACATTGATCTCCGATGGACGGTGCTCTGCGATTTGTTCCTCGTCCTCATTGCAGACTCGGCCTATGATGCGCGGTCACGGACATTGCTTGAAAGGGTTGGTGCTTCGATGGAGGTGTCATGGCTGCAAATTGCCCGCTTCGAAAAGCGGGTCATCGATGCTCTCGAAATGCAGGAGGCTGCGGAAAAGGAGACATGGGACGAGTCGGAGCATATGGAGAAGCGGCGGAAGATGGCCCTCAAGCGCAAGTATATGGTTATGGGCTTAGCCACTGTCGGTGGTGGCCTGGTGATAGGCCTTTCGGCTGGCTTGTTGGCCCCGGTCATCGGCGCTGGTATAGCAGCTGGATTCACCACCGTCGGGATCACGGGGACGAGCGCGTTTTTGGGCGGTGCTGGAGGTACAGCGTTGATTGCCTCCGGCGCTACCTTGACTGGAAGTACCATTGGTCTGAGGGCTTCTCAAAGACGGACTGGCCCTGTTCAGACATTCGAATACCGCCCCTTGCATAATAACAAGAGAGTCAACCTGATTATCACCGTCGCTGGTTGGATGACAGGAAAGGTTGATGACGTCCGATTGCCTTTCAGTACAGTTGATCCCATCATGGGTGACTTGTACTCAGTCTTGTGGGAGCCTGAGATGCTCCGAAGTATGGGTGACACTATTAACATTCTCGCTACGGAGGTAGGCAGTGACATTATGCTCAGATACGCTCATGCGGACACTAACATGCTTGGAATAGGCTTTGACTCAGGGGTTGCAACAGGTCCTTGGCCAGACAGTTCTAGTTGCCCTAATGGCTTCACTGCAACTCCCACTCGTCCTGACAAAGCTGTCCTATCTAATCGACAATCCTTGGAACGTATCGCTTACACGCGCAAATGCGGCCGGACTGATTCTGGCTGACTCGCTGCGAGACCACAATCTGGGAAAGAGGCCAGTGACTCTTCTCGGATATTCACTTGGCTCGCGAGTCATCTTCTCTTGTTTGAAGGAGCTTGCAGACAAGGGCGCTCATGGGCTGGTTCAGAACGTGTATCTTTTCGGGTCTCCGATTGTGGCCAACCGAGATGAGTACCTCAAAGCCCGCAGCGTGGTGTCTGGGCGGTTTGTCAATGGATTCGCCTCCAACGACTGGATCTTAGGGTATCTTTTCCGCGCCACGAGTGGTGGTATCATGCGGGTGGCTGGTCTTGCACCAGTAGAGGGGGTTCCCGGCTTGGAGAACTTCGATGTCACCAAGATTGTGAATGGCCATATGGACTATCGTGCAGCAATTCCTCGGCTGTTGAAGGAAGTCGGCTGGGAAGTTCTGAGCGAAGAGTTCGCCGAGATTGAGGATCCTGATCCCGAGAACCACGCTGAGCGGCAAAGGGAGCTGATCCGTGAGATTGACGAGGCGCGACGAGAGGCTGAGCAAAAGCCGGAAAAGAAGCGGTTTGGTTTGTTCAAGCGCGGAAAGTTGGCGCAGAAGAAAGGCTGGGAAACGTACGACGTTGAACGCAACAATGCGATACGCCGGGGCTCCAGCGACACCAACGGCTCCGGAACGGTGCTCTTTGATATCGACGCTATTCGAGCCGAGCTAGCCTCGGAAAGTATCGAAGTCAAGCAGCTTGAATCCACACTTCCCCCGATGAAATTAGACTTGAGTTCACCAGCAAGCCCGGCTCCATCTGCTCCTGCTCCCACCGGCAAAGAGCTGAAGAGCCCTGAAACTCCAGCGCCTCCGGCTCGTGCGTCTCCTGGGACACTCCGCGAATACAGTCCTACTCGTGACGCACACACGCCTGCACATCAAGAGGAAGCAGTAGAGATGACCTTCGATACGTCCTTCCACGATACCCCTCCCCGTTCTCAGTCGTCCTTCGAGCCCGCCGCCTCTCACGATGTACACCCCACAAGGCCTGAGCTTCGGTCTTCCCTTACGATGCCGGCCCTTGGGGCCAGCACTTTAGGCGCTATGGCTCTGGAGCCAAATGCTTGGGCCGAGCACGACTTTGGCCATGCCGAAGAAGAGATTCAGATGACATTTGAGTGACGATGAACGAGACGATGGGGAACGAGCTTCTGTTTGTTTATAAGCTGTTTGTTGATAGACCGAGCCGGGTCTGTGCCGGGGGTTACTTTTCTTAATATGGGTTGCTATAATTTCTTTTCCGTTGTCATTCTACTTGCTTGTGTCCGTGCATGACGCCGCGGGAGGACGATTGCAGTTATGATAGATTCAGAGCCTGGCATGCGATTGCCAAGTTAGAGCCTTATTTTTTGTTGCATACACTTTTCTGAGACATGATACAGCCAGTCTAATTTTCATGCATGCTTGATTCACCTTGCGGTGTGGCTGTTTGGATATCAGGTGTTCTGGATGTGCTGGTCGGCATCCCCATTAGTTTAGCATGAAGCAGTCTTTATTACTACCTCTAGTATCAGTTATACGAAGCAAATCTTCTCCTCCTTGAATGCAAAAAGGAGTTCTCCATCCATTGATTGACGGTCGATGCGACCAGTCGGCATAGAACCCAAGCCGACGGGATCATAATTATAGCAGCGGGTGCGGAGAATAGCGTGTCACCACACGCGTCCCTCCTCATCCGAATCCCCAGCCAATTTGATTCATGACTTTCCTCCTCTTCTCTGCCCTCCACACCGAACGACACCCAGCCCAGGACCCCGCAAGCACAGATCTTCCCGGGGCATCTTTACTATTTACATTCAAAGGGGCGGCCCATGCACATGCTCACACTCGTTCCGTGGTTCACTCCATCACTCAAACGGGGGTCGACCTGCTCTCGTGCTTCTCCATCCAAGCAGCTCGGCCACAGTTGCGACGTGATTATTTATCATTGAAACAAATACTTACTCAGGCCACTTCACTCTCCCTTCCTTTCTATTTGTATCATTTTGATTTGCAATTCTTCTCTTGCCCCTATCGATATCGACCAGTCTCCACAATAGCCATAGCCAACCCATCCATCTCCACGACCAACTGATCTCCACTACAGCTACCCTATACACACCATGGTCCTGCAAACCCGACCCAAACCCAACTCCAGCTACGCCTCCAACCGACTCACTCGACAATCCGGCCCCAGCCAATCCCTCCTCTCCACCTTCCGAAACAGCAACGGCAAAGATGAGCGTCCGAAACCCGTGAAACCGGAGCCCGCGACAGACGACGAGCCCATTAGCTCTAGCGACGAAGACGATGTCGTGAACGAGGACGATTCCGAGCCGGAAACCCGCACACGAGTCTCGGGCCCTAGCTTGGATGAGAAGCTCGCCAAGAGCAGATCGCAGACAACGCCGCGCGCCCCGCGCCAACAAAGAGGGAGCGATACAAAGAACAGTACCCCGGCAACGGGCCGCAAACGGACCTCGCGTGAGATGGTAAACGATGACGCGGATGAAGATAAGGATGAGGGGTTTTTCGTCTCGTTTCGCGAATTAGATAATGGGAATAAGCGACGCAAGAGTCGCGGGTATCAGTCGAGGAAGTCGTTGGTGAACTCGTCGCAGTCGCCGGCGGGGAGTGTTAGAACGCCGAAGGCTTCGAAAGAGGAGAGCAAGAGTATGGGTAATGGGGCTAAGAAGAAGGGCAAGGAGTTCAAGGTTCCCAGGGATATTGAGGACGAGGCGCGTGCGTCGAGCCCCAAGCCTGAGTTCAAGCAGCCTCCTCCGATGCCTGAGCCTAATGATATGATCTCGAGCTCTTCACATGCTACTTCGTCTGCTCTGGATGCGGCGGTCTTTGATGATGATGATTCCTCGGTCGGCACGCCGCTTAGTACGGCGTCATCTAGCTTCATGAACGAGCTCTCGCAGTATGGAGAAGCAGCGCTGCTAGATGAACCAGCCGTGTGTCCGTGGTGCAAAGCGCCTGTGGACCCGGGGGCGCTGTTGCGATTCCGCGCGCAACCGAAACAGCGCATGCGCGAACAGCGACAGTTCTGTGACTCTCATAAGCAGACTTCTGCGGAGCAGGAGTGGAGGGAGAAGGGTTATCCGGGGATCGACTGGGATACGTTCGATGAGCGAATCGCTCAGCATTTCGCGGATCTGGAGACGGTCATGGTACCGGAGAGTACCTCTTTCTACCGGAATAGTCTGGACACGGCGTTGAAGACCGGACAGGCTAAGAACTTCCGCCTTTCGCTGGACGGAGACGGATTGGAAAAGATCTCGTGTGGATATTACGGGACTCGAGGGGCAGGGAAAATGTACGCTTCACCTTTGCATCTACTTGATATGGTCTTCTATGGGCGCAGGCTAATTGAAACAGGCTACAAGCGATCACCTCGCGATACGGGCGGAAGCTCCGTCGGCTAGCGGCCGATGATCAGATTGTGAAGATGGCCGGGCCCGTCGGATATGCGCAGGCGGTGCTGGTGCCAGAGTTGGCGGTGCGACTGGTCAAAGAGGACATGGGGGTGAATGAGGAGACGGCACGGCAGATTCTCCGCGAGACAATTGATCTTGGGGAGAAGGTGAACTTTGCCTTGAATGACAAGGTGCCGGTGCAGGAGGAGTCTGAAGCTGAGGTGCAGTGAGATGCATAGCAGTGGTGATGATGTATTTGGGGATTGTTATTCGTATGCTGGTCGGACTCTGTTTATTGGGCAGTCCTGGGACCAATGCTGTGTTGTATATAAGGCGATGAGTGATACCTCTCTGTTCGCTAGCAAGCTAGCCAGGCTGTTGTGCCGTGACTTTGTTGGGAGAAATGAATATGAATATGGCGCGTGCAGGAGACGAATTGACACCATTCCGACTCCACAGTTGGTGATGCTTCAGTCCGGCCGAGGTGGAGCCGGCGATAAGATAGCGGAGACTGCTGATTAGCTGATAGCCTTGGTTACGTCGTGCGGAGCTGTCCGAACCCTTCCTTCAATCCATAGTGAGAAAGTACTACTGCTGCTGCTAGTTACTCCTCACCTCCCATCTCTCTCTGACTCTTACTCTTCATCACACTTCCATCTCCCCTGTTTCATGAGATGGATAGTATTCCAATTTATCTCTAAACTAGTATCCCAATCATGCCCCCCGAAATGCGGGAAAAGGCCGATGCCTATCATTACTCCACCATGCCCAGCGAATCTACGCCTCTCCTCACCACGGTCGGCGTCCGCCCCCATCGACACCGCTACCCACATCACTCTCTCCGCCGTTTCTGCACCATCACTCTCACCTCCATTCTTACCCTCTCACTCTGTCTCTTCCTGACCCCCACCGCCCTCCTCCCCCGCGCTCACGGTTCCATCTGGAGCTACCTCCCCTGGGCGAATCCCTTCCCCCACTCCTCCTGGCCTGAAGGTCATGGCCTCAGCTACGCTGAACTCCAAGCCGTCTTGAAAGAAACCCCCAGCGCCCAGAAGGCTCGCGAATGGAGCACCTACTACACCGCTGGTCCGCACCTGGCCGGGAAGAACCTCAGCCAGGCGGTCTGGACCAAGGAACGCTGGGCTGAGTTCGGGGTCCCAGAGACTGAAATTGTGGCATATGATATCTTCCTCAATTACCCTGTGGATCATCGGTTGGCACTGCTGAAGAAAGACGAGGTCGTATTTGAGGCAACCTTGGAAGAGGACGTGCTGGAGGAGGACCACACCAGTGGGCTGCCTAACCGCGTGCCTGTGTTTCATGGATACTCGGCCAGTGGGAATGTCACGGCGCCGTATGTGTTTGTGAACTATGGTACTGTGGATGACTTCCAGGACCTCGTGGATCGGAATGTCAGTCTGGGAGGCAAGATTGCTATTGCCAAGTATGGACGGATCTTCCGCGGATTGAAGGTCAAGAGAGCGCAGGAACTCGGTATGTCTGGGGTGATTCTGTATGATGATCCCGAGTCCGATGGGGAGATTATCGAGGAGAATGGCTATGCTCCGTATCCGGAGGGCCCGGCTAGGAACCCGAGTGCTGTGCAGCGGGGAAGTACCCAGTTCTTGAGTAAGTTTATCCTATCTTCCCGCTTGGTTGTTGGATGAAACTGACTGAGTAGGTATCGCACCGGGTGACCCGACTACCCCCGGATACCCGTCCAAGCCGGGATGTGATCGTCAGGATCCGTATGAGTCTATTCCCTTGATTCCCTCCCTGCCCATCTCGTATCAGGAGGTGGTGCCGTTGCTTAAGGCCCTGAACGGCCACGGTCCCAAGGCGTCCGACTTGAACGAATACTGGCAGGGCGGTAAGCTGGGCAGCAAGGGCGTCGAGTACTACATTGGCCCGACCCCGGATGATGTCCAGATCAATCTGTACAATGAGCAGGAGTATGTGACGACTCCTTTGTGGAACGTCATTGGTGTCATCAAGGGAGCCATCCCGGATGAAGTCGTGATCATGGGCAACCACCGCGATGCCTGGATTGCCGGCGGCGCTGGAGATCCGAACAGCGGATCTGCCGCTCTCAACGAAGTTGTGCGCAGCTTCGGCGAGGCGCTCAAGGCTGGGTGGAAGCCGCTCCGTACTATTGTCTTTGCCAGCTGGGATGGCGAAGAGTACGGATTGCTCGGATCCACCGAGTGGGTGGAGGAGCAGCTGCCCTGGTTGTCCAAGGCCAACATTGCCTATCTCAACGTGGACGTGGCGGCGTCAGGAACGAGCTTGCGCCCGAGGGCCAGCCCGCTGCTGAACAAGCTGATCTACGAGGTTACTGGTCTGGTGAAGTCGCCCAACCAGACTGTGCCTGGGCAGACCGTCCGGGACCTCTGGGACGGTGATATTGCCACCATGGGTAGTGGCAGTGACTTTACGGCCTTCCAGGACTTTGCTGGTGTGGCGAGCTACGACCTTGGATTCAGCCGCGGTCCGAAGGACCCAGTGTACCACTACCACTCGAACTACGACAGCTTCGACTGGATGGACCGGTTCGGCGACCCGGGCTGGAAGTACCATGAGACAACCACCAAGATCTGGGCTTTGGCAGCAGCCAAGCTGGTGGAGACGCCGGTGATCGCCTTTAACGCTACGGACTACGCGCTGGGCTTGGAGAAGTATCTTAACAAGATCAAGCCGGCGGCGAAGCAACTCCCCGAGGGAGCATCGTTCGACTTTGGGCCGCTTGACGCAGCGATCGCTAAGTTCCAAGCGGTGTCAGCGAAATTTGACGCCTATGCGGCGGATCTGACTGAGCGGCTGGGCGACGATGTGCCGTGGTACCACTGGTGGAGGAAGGTGCGGCTCTACTTCCAGATCCGCATCGTCAACGACAAG